ATGTACATTCTATGGAAGAGACAGAATTATATAGCATGGGTTGCTCTGTGAAAACAATGAGCAGATTCCAATTACCAACTAACACTTGGTGACTTTTCATTCTTTGGCAAATTACTTAACTTCTCTATGCCTCAATTTCCTTAAATCCATCTGGAATAAGAGGAAAATAATACTTGCCCCAAGATCTATGAGAATTGAAAGAACTAACCATGCAAATGAATAATGCTGGATACATGGCAGTATTTAGTAACAACAGCAATGTTCCTTACAGTCCTCTGGAAAGTTGCTGCTGTAGACCAAGCCAGGTAAAAGCATCACGAAATATTAAGTTGCTACAGAAAAGTTAGCCAGTTCCCACACTCACCCATGAGCCAGCCCTTCCCCTTCTCTCATCTTAAGGGAATCATATTACTTTTAAATTGTCGTTATAAAACTACAGAATTGTTTTCTGACATTGTAGCCATCTTACCTCAGTTTATAAACTAACAGTAGCCTTAACTATCCCCCACCCCACAGACAAATTCCCAAAGGACGTCCATCTGGCCACTTTCTTATTATCCTCTCTGGGCCTTAATCTGTACTTTCAATGGATGGGAGTGTGTGTGCAAATCCACCCCCTGCCCCAAAACCCAGGTACTCAATCTATGTTCTCTGTGACACAGTGATTCAGAAAACTGAAGCCTCTATGTAATGTGGCCATAAGGCCCAAAATTAGTCCACATCTCCAGATGTCTGCTTTTTTCAAAGGACTATTTCCTAAATCACTGGTGTGAATATCAGTAAAATAGGACCCCAAAGGGCCCCGCTGACACCTTGTTTCTCCCTCGTCCAAGACCACTTGTATTTTTCCTCAATACAAAGTGGACTTGAATCACCTTTCTTTGTACTTGTAGGCAGAAGCTAGACGTTTTCTCCAAATGTAATAGAGAGGTGTGAGGAACCTTTCAGAAGAACTTTTTGACACAAATCCAAAAGATCACCTTTTTCCTGAGGATTAAAAAAAAGAAAAAGTCTGACACAACCTGCCTACAAAAGCTCAAACCATACTACCTGCCACATAGGCAACAGAGGCTAAGGAACAAGGGGGTATACAGGAGTATGCTGAACTGCAGAAGCTGTACTGACAACTTGGACAAGGCCAGTGTGTCCCTACATCATGGAACCAGCACCTAAACAAATCCACCAAAAGATGATATGATGGCCAAGAGTACAGGCTCAGGTCCTAGGAGCAGGCTGCTTGGGAAGCACCTTGCATGCTGTAGCCTGGCTAGTACAGAAAAGGTCTCATAGAAATTGGGGGTTATTTTGGGGAAAGTCAAAGCTTAGTAACTAGAAAAGTCACTGTGGAAAGAGAACAAATAGAGTAGAGTTTTATCCCACTAATGTTAAATCATTTTATTTCCATAAATCCTACTTGAGATTTAGCTGGATTGGAATTAAACAGGTCCTTGTAGATTTCTTGCATTACTGTGAAACAGGGTATTATCTAACTCCAGGAAGATGAAGATATTTTTAGACAACCTCTCCAATCTGCAGCAGCTATTACTGGTATCCAAAAGATCAGCCATTCTTTTGAAGTTCAATGTCTCCAAAGCCATCCAATTATGATTACAATGACACACGTGGTATGTGCAGTTTCAATTCTGGCACTTGAAAAGTCAAGACTGCAAGACAAAGGAAGTAATTCTCTGTCAAAATCAAGCTGAAGAGTGTCTGGGTTATATTTCAGTTTGAGAATCTTTGAAATGACCTGAGGCAAAGTCTAGCAGTTGCCAACCTGATTGAGTCTGAATTGGATGCACTCAGAGACATTATTCTTACCTTTCCAGTTTCCCAAGTTCTACCTGTCACTAGGGATGTATTATCACTGATTGACTCAGTGATGAGTCAGTATTAATTTGCAGTAGTTGTCTTTCTCCAGACTAGCAAAGCAGACATATTTGCCAAATATTTTAAAGGATTGTTGTGAGAGTTTGTGATGTTGCGCTTGTACCGGGCTTTGAATTCCTGCTAGGTAGAATGTTGAACAACCACTGAGTGTAATGTTTATTTAATCTGTCAGCCCTCAGAACAGTTATTGGTGAGCAATAATGTCATGAGAGCTAGGCCTGAGGCAGGAAGAGCTGTGTGCCACTCTTCAGTCACAACAGGCAAAGGTGCTTTTTTTGCCTGAAAAAAGTGGTTGCTGATGTAGATCTTGCCAGTCTGCTCTGACAATTAAGAATAAGCTATACCACATTTAAGTTCAAGAAAGAGTTCTTGTTACAGCTGGGCTGATGGGGAAAATACCTTCTCTCTCTGAGTGGTCATCAGATGGTGTTCAGGCAGTGCCCCAACTGGGCAGCTCTGTCCTAAGACACTGGACAAAAAGCACAAAAGGAATAGGGCTTATTCCAGGTCCTCCAGTAACTCTGCAGTCTCCTCAAAATAAAAGAAAGGTTTTTTTCCACTACTGGCAGAATTTGAATTAAAAAGTGAGAAGCAGTTTATCCTCAGCTCAAAAACTTCCCTGTGGGTTTCAGTGGTTGCAAAGGTAGAAAAGAAAGAGAGGAAGTGTCTGGGTGTGGGACTGTAGAGATCTAACCTCCTTGCATTAGTCAGCTTTCCATTACTGGAATAAATACCTGAGATAATGAACTTGTAAAAATAAAACTGTCATTTTGGCTCACATGTTCGGAGATTCCAGTCCATGATGAGTTGGCCCCTTTGGCCCTGTTGGGAGGCAGCACATCATGGTGCAATGCGTGTCAAAGCAAAACTGCTTGCTTTGTTGCCAGGAAGGAAAGGTGGAGGGGAGAGGTGGCCTGAGCCCCTGATGACCTAAAAGCCTCTCATTAGGCCCCACCTCTTTATATCACCTCCCACTGCCTCTGCTCTGGGAACCTTGCCTTTAACACATGAGCCTGTAGGGGACATTCAAGATCCAAACTGTAGTCCTCTTTGTGTAGGACTCACCAGTGTCAACAGCTTTTCTCAAGGGCTGCCCTTTCCCTTTACCTACTCTCTTGAGCACTCTCACCTTCCCTATCTGATTCATCCCTAAGGAATACTACCTGGGATATGGTATCCAAAGAACTCCTAAAGCTTCTCCCATGGCAGAGTGACAGCTTCCAGAGAAAACCTGAAAAGGCTAACTGGAGAAGAACCTACAGTAGCATGAACCAGGAAAATGATAGTCACGTCTAGAATATGTTTATATTTACCACTTGCATCTAGTTGTAAAGGAAAACCTAGTGTACAGTAGCAATAATATTGTTTGTGGTGGCCTTGAACGTGACACCACTCTCATCTCTGAAGGGAACATATTTGCCTGACAGCCAGTTGCTGCCCTGCTGTGTCCCACACCATGTTCATGCTGAGGTCACACTTCCTACAGGCTGCTCCCAGCATTGATGAACCACAGAGAGAATTTTTTTGGGGGGGGTTACCGGGGATTGAACTCGGGACCTTGTGCTTGAGAGGCAGGTGGCAGCACCACTGAGCTAAATCCCTGGCCCGCACAGAGAGAATATTAAGGCAGGCACATTCCTGTGAGACACTGGACTCTTCCAATAGATGGCTCTGACTTGAGTACGTCCTATCCATTTGGTTGAAATTTTCTTAGAACTGTGTTGCAGTGCAGGACTCTTCCTAACATCTCTCTCTTTCCTTTTTCTGTTCCTTTATAGTTGTCAGGTCTGCATCATGGCCTGAAAACATTCTCCACTTCGTTTTATTCTTCACAGGCTTTGCCCTCTATCTCTCTTACACATCTAATCCTCTCTCAGATCTGCTTATCAGAGGACCTGAACTAGTGCAATCATCAACAATATGTTGTCATCAGCAGTAATGTATTTATCACATTCTCTGTGGAGCGTAATATGTCAGGGCTGAGACATAGAGAAAGAGTGGAAAGAGACACGGGTCATGGTTCCTACCACCAGGGAGCCACCTTTCATTGACTAGGTAACATGAGTCCCACAGATACAATGGCTGACAACAAAAAGATGTACAGTATATGCTTCTAACACAATAGGGTAATTACTTATTTACATGACTGTTTCTTTGTGTCTAAGCAAGATTAGTGTTTTTAAACTATAAATCCATACTCATTAGGCAGTTGTGAAGTCATAGTAGTGGTTCACACCAACATCATTTAAAAATGGAATGGAAGATGCCAGGAGGCAGTACCTCTAATAAGTATTATGAAACTTCTATGTATGCATTATTTTAAACACATGCAAATATACGTGTGTAATGAGTTGGGGTGTCAAATATACCTCTTACTATATCACCATCAAGAAAATTTGAAATCTACTGAAGTAGATAGACCATATGCTTACAAACAGTGACAGTGTTCATTTCCAAGGCTGTATCCCCAGTGCCTAGAGCAGTGTCTAACCACATGGAGAGTCTCAATAGATGTTTGTTGACAGTATGTGTTGACTATGCAAAAGACAAGTCATTCACAAAGTAAGGGACGCTGGGGTTACCCCTTAAGAGACCAGGGCTGGACTTAGAGAAATGGAGAGGAAAAGGAAGAAGAGTATTCAGGGACCAAAATTACACATGCAAAATTAAAGGCCAGGATACTCAAGGTGCACTAGGGAGACTAGATGGCTAAGTTGGCTTAACATCTATCTACACAGAAAGAAATCAGGGAGGCCAGAGGCCAGAAATTAATATCAAAATGACAATACTAATCTCCAAGTATAATGTTTAATAATGATGTTAATAATGATAGCGATAAAATCGTTCCCTGCACTTACACGGGCATCTTTCAAAGAACTCAAACCATGTTAAAATGCTACATTTTTAATCTCAAACATGTTGTCAGACAGGCACAGGGAAGCAGCTTTGTCTCCTTTACACAGGAGATGTGTCTAATCCTACATCCCCGTAACAAGCCAGTGGGGCATTTGGTCTGAAGCGCAATTGCTCTATGTAGGCTTCCTCTGCTGGGGCAAATTCTCCTTGTGAATGTGTAGTGAGCATCTCAACTCTCATTCTGTATTTTCAAGGATGTTTAGCTCTTCCAAGAAACTAACAGTGACTGGATTTAAGGCCACTTCACCATTTCATCCCTTGGTAAGATGGAATATATATATTATAAATATAATATATAATAAATATAATATATAATAAATATATAATATATATTACAAATATAATATATATGACAGATTTCTATCTTTAATATTTCAAATGAAATATTTCAAATGAAATATAAAGGTAAACAGAGCTAAATAATACATAGATCTTAAAGTGGATACTTAGTTTAATATAAGTTCATTCTAATAATCTATGACTTTAAATACCACTAATTTCTATATTTTTTCCATCCCTCCTCAGTACTAATATGACATAAACCCAGATCTAGTAAAGCCAAAATTAAATGGCCCTTCTTCGACTTTATCTCTTGATTTTGGTTCTTCATAGACTACTGAGGCAGACTGATCCTCCTTCCCAAGCTCTGCTTAGAGACCACTGTCCTTACACTACCACTGGTCATGGTTTCTGCTGGTATACCCAGAGCTGAGCTGAACAGCAGCCCAAACTTTGACCCCATCAGAGTCAATGGAGCTTACCAAGAATCTCCATGCTCTGCAAGGCCAAATCAATATTCCTCCCACTGATTTGATGAAGACCTCTATCTGATCTTACTCATTCATGGTAAGTCAATAAACTGTGTGATGTCATGATTGGCCATGGCTTGCCCTTTTCTTCCTATCTGTCTCTGAGCCAAACTGGTCATGCTTAACATCCAAAGGACATCATGATGCATCAGAAAGACCATGTACTCTAGATTTTGGGTTTTCCAGCTGACAATAGAAAGTACATGTTCCATTAGTGAATGTACCAAACTTGGTTTAACTGAAGCTGCCTGTAGGACACAGCCACAAGTTTAAAACTTCTCCTTCCACACTGTCACTAGGTCAAAGCCATTATTGAGAAAAAGAGACACTCATTATAAGAATAGATTCTGCAGTAGTTGAACACTAATGACTTCTTCCTTTCCTTCTAGCTCTTCCAAGACATAAGGACCTCCTTCTACCTGACAGAGTACTCTTGGAGTGGAGGTCAGGTCATGTTTCTCAGTGCAATTCCGGAAGATTACAGTACATATCAGAGCCCTGCTCCTTTCTGAGGACACCTACAATGGGTGGTATGAGAAGAAATGGAAAACTAAAAGAAAAACACAATATATCTAAAACCTAAGGCTGATAGAAATGATCCCTAAGGGCCATGGAACCATCTCGTTACTTAAATAGGGTGGGCAGTGGTATAGAGAGAAAGCTGAAAGGAAATATTTCCATGGAGGCACATAGCCCTGAGATCACATCCACTTCAAGGATGATACCACTGCCCCTCCCTCCTTGCTAGTTTTCCACCACTTCCCTATATATATTCCAAGATCCAGACATACTGAACTACTTGTAATTTCCTGAAAATGCTTGCTGTTTTCTATGCCTGGATTTTTGTACATGCAATGATTCTGTCTTTCTAGAATGCCCTTTCCTTTCCTGACTTCCTCCTACTTATCTTTCCAGGTATGGCTTGATATCAATTCCATTCCTCTTATGTCTTCTTCCTCTATAGAATTCCAGACTATATTTCTTCCCCCACCCTCATATGTTACATGTAATACTGCAATGTTAATTTACTTAGGTGTCCTCAGGAGCATGATAACAGTGTTAACAGATGTCATCAATATGGTGCTTACCATGTTCTAGGTAGTATGCCTGGAACATTAATTCTCATACCACCCTTGTGAAGTAGGATTATTATTATTGTTTTATAGATGTGGGAAATGAAGCTTAGAAGGGAATTGTACCTGTTTAGAAAATTAAAAAGAGGTAGGGTCAAGATTAGAACACAGGTCCAACTCTAAGTCTTTGATTCTCACCACTATATCATAGAGCTTCCCACTAGGCTGTACATCGTTCAATGGCAGGGACTCCACTTTCCATCTCCAGTCCCCAGTATCTAGCACAGAGCCTAGAATATAGTAGCTGTTAGTTAGTACTCAACAATGTGTTTGATGAATCAATAAATGAATAACAATGAGTTGATTTAACTCAGTCCTGGTAATCTCAATATGTATTTCTTGTCCCACCCTGAATATACATTTGGGAGGATTAATTAAGCCTAAGTAAACAGACAATTCAAAGGCAACTACAAGAAGATATTCCATAACTTGGCAGTGGATGTATTATGCATTCTCAGACTGGGCTACATTACTGGGCAAGATTGCTTATAAAAAGATGTTCAAGGATCCATAGGAAAAAAATGGATGTAGACAAATTGAATAAACTTTCAGGAACTCCCATGGAGGGTTTAACAGACTTTAATAGTCCAGCTAGGCTTGTTTGGACAAATAGCTTGGCCTTGTTTGCACAATAAACAAGTGGTCCTTGTGAACTAAGCTTCCCTGCCTGGCAGAGATGGCTTGGAAAGCAGGTCTGGACACAGGACAAATGGGAAGCAGTTTCTCTGTTGAAGTAAGAGGGAAGATAAGGTGGCTTTTGATGGAAATGATAAACCTGGGGAACACCATAAGCTCATAGAATGTGGACAAGACTCTGCCAACTTAATTCTCCTTGTCCCTCAAGCAGTGGCTCTCATCTGTAGAGGAGAGACTCCCAGGAACCATAATCTTCTCTAAGCTTCCTGTTGAGACATTATTTCTTATTGTTCCTTGGGGAAATTCTTCCTATTAAAAAGAAATATGCCTGTGTTGATTTTCATGGAATTTGAATTTCCCATCTTGGCTAAGGCCCAAGCCTCATGTCTTAGTCACTTTCTTGTCCCTGAGAAAAAATACTTGACACCTGCAACTTAAGAGAAGAAAGGTTTATTTTTTAATTTTTATTTTTATGAGTACATGTTTGCAGAATATAATGATTACGTTCATCATGGAGATTTGTTACATGTACATAACATATGTTAATTCTTTTTTCATCCCCTTCCCTTCCTCTCCCTTAATCTCTTGGTTCTTTTCCTTCTTGCACAAGATCTATCTGCCTGTTTTCATTATCTATCTTTTATATTTTGGCTCGTGTTTTAGTCCATAACTGGCTGGGTCCAAGACAGGATGGTATGACAGAGAGGCATAATGGAGGAAAAGCTGCTTACACTGTGGCAGCCAGGAGGGAGGAGCCAGGAAGAAAGATAAACTTCTAGGTCAGGTCCACAATGACCTACTTCTTTCAACCAGACCTCCTCTCCTAATAGCAAGTCAGCTCTAGTGCCCTTCTAATACAGCTGCCTTCCCAAGGCTCTGCCTATGATCTTACGAAGCTTTAGGTGGACATCTAGATAGAAATCATCCCACATCCCTTTTACTACTGACTTTTATAAGCCACAATAAGCCCTAATACAATTCATGAAAATATCATTAGTTCCCCTTGCAAAGTAGGGGGTGATATATTAATTAAAACTACCTAAATCTTCTAGTTCTTCTTGAGCAGAAAATGTGTCATAATCTTAGAGTATACCAATTGCTGAAGTACTTGTCTTCACTTTCATTCTTCCCTATCAATAGGCTACTTCTCATGACTGTCTGTGGCTTCAGATAAATTACATGTTTTGTACTCAGAGCCGGGCCTAAATATATTTGTGCCATGATATTTATTAAAAATTGAACCTTTTGGTGTTCTAATCTAATGCTCCCGAGATTTCTATTAAATCTCTTTTGGTCTTTCTGTATTAAATTATAATTATGTTACATTTGGGCTCCAGGATTACAGGCAATGTTAAAATCCAAGGTTGAAGTTGCTTAGGTATTTGACTAGTGGAACTGTGGAGAGTAGATCTCTGTAGATGACTAAAATTGTATATTCATTCATTCAATATTTATTAAACAGATAGTATGTGCTGTGGAGAGCATTGTGCAGCTAAGGAAAGAGATATAGGAGACATTTCTCTACCCCCAAGTTTGCAGGGTTATAGTTTATTGGAGTAGTCTACTGGATGGTTGTAAAGTGGGAACTCAAAGTTGGAAAATACCCAATCACCAAGGTTGCCTACATGAAGGATCAAATTGCTGCTATGGGGTTTGGATACAAATCTTTTTATTTTAATTAAATAAACTCACCTAAAATTTTTGGAAAATTAAAGGTTAATTACTGAGATATAGAATGAATATATCAGGTAAGCGCTTCTATTTACTAGAAAAATTACTTTCCAAGGAATAGAGTTGGTGGCTTAGAATCCTAGTTATTATTCCTATATTTAAAGAGATAACATACACAAAATTACCTTTACATTTGTAAAATTAAAATGTAACTGCTGTTATAGTTACCCATAGACTTAATGTAGAGTAATGACAGTGGTAATTTAAAATGATTAGATATAACCCCAGACATCTGATTGCCAATCATTTTTCATCCACCGTCAGAATAATGCTATGGGATTCTCTTGACCTTTATAAGCTTTAGGTGTGTTTGTTTACTAAATGGGGGTATATTCAATCTGATTCACTGGAGAGTATAAAGGATCAAATGAGATAACAGAATTGAAAATGGAGACACTGTCTTTTTCTCTTACTCCAACACTGTAAGTCTATTTCCTGAATCTCAGTGGGGGCGGGGGTGGGGGGAGAGTGGGAGCGCAAGCAGTGACAGGAAGGAAGGGGGCTGCTTTGCTCTGGTAAGCTGCTGTGAAGAAAGAGGAAGAGAAAATAGCTTACGAGGTTTTATTGGCTCACAATCCGTGTAAGCCTGAGCTCAAAGGATCACTAGCCTTTGTAACAATAAAAGCAGGTTTTTAAAACAATTTTTTTCCCTAAATCTCTATAGCATGTTTTCCTGGTTCTGTCTAGAACATCAAACATTGACTAAGTGTCTACCTCATGAAAGACACTGGGCTTCAAAGATGAAAAGGACATGGTTCCTGCTCTCAAAGAAGATCGCAGAAGGGAGAGGACCGACCCCTTACTAGATGTTTCACAAGATAGACTGTGGGGGAGGGGATCATATTAGTTCACTGTATGACAAGATTAATCGAAAACATTAGAAGACATGTTTAAACAAAGGCTGGGTAATTATTCTAATCACCGAAAAGACACATCGAGGATCATTTCCTACAGAGCAAAACAAGAGACCACCCAGAATAATCAAGATCCTTGCCTCCTTTGGAGACATTTTAGAATTCATCCCTAAACTTTCGCAGATGTAAGGTCCTTCATGTTCTGATTTCAAAGCACTTTAGAGAGTGGATAAGGTTTCAATAGGATATAGAAAAAAATTAAAATTATAGTGAGAACTCTGGAAAAAAAGCAAAAATGGATGGGCAAATGTAGGGGAAGAGAAATATAATGGAAGAGAAATAGCAGAGCATGGCATAGACTCAGGAAATAATTTGTGTATTCACTTTGCAGCAATTATGTTACTAATTACTGTAGTGTACAAATAACCTAAATAAAATATTGTAAAAAGCTAACATTTAGATGCATCTAAAATTTTGACCAATGCAGTATTTGAATCTTCTTTTATGGTGTCTAATTTGGCCTGAGACGAAGTCTGACAATGTTGAGTATTAAATGGATGAAGATTTATCCTTGTCTTTCTTTCTTACAACATTTATCCCTTTATTCTCTGGCATCCTTGAGCAGCAAACAAAAGCTGATTCCCTTAGTGAGATCTCTGTGGTCTGAACTCCTCGCTGCCCAATTCACACCATCCATGCATGGGTTCTGGATTCAATTTTTATGGCTTGCTCTCCACTGAGGAAGAAAACCAATGAATCAACTGCACTGAACTCTTCACCCACCCCACTAAAGAAGAAAAGAGAGCTTAGTCAAGGGACAGAGAAGAATGTAGACAGCTAGGGAGCCAAAGGAAGAGTGAAATTCAAACAGAAGATGATGACCTATTAGGGCAAACACTGAAGAGAAGTCTTAGATAACTGAAAAGAGTTGGACTTAGTGATTAGAATCGATAAACTGGGGAGAACAAGATGAGAAAAAATGGAGTTCAGGAAGTTAAGGAAAAAAAGCAGCCAGACAAGAAATGAAGATGGGGTTACAATAAAAATGATGATAGCTAATGTTTACTGAGGAGGTTAGTTGTGTATATTATTATCATCATTTTACAGGTGAACAAATTGTAATACATATTGGACAGTAATGGACATGCTTATTTACTACATTACACTGCAGGAACTGATAAAGCTCAGGTTCAAACTCAGTCGGTTCAACTCTTGACCTCTGGTTTATTGTGCTTTTCACTCTTTTGAGAGGTTTATTTGAATGAGAGGAAAGAAATAGTTTTATCTTTATTTCAAGGGCATAATGAAATTAGTGGGACCTTTCTATTTTTTTTCCCTAAAGTTAAAAGGATATACGTGAGCACATGGGAAGACAGTAGCGGAGACAGAGGTTGAAAATAATGAGTTCTAATTGACGAGAACTCCTGATTGGTAGGATAAAATTTTCCAGGGAACAGAAAAGGTTCTGTTTACAAGCACAGCGGGGTAAGTTAACCTGAAATATAAGAGAAAGAAGAAAATGTTCACCGAACTTGATGATTAAGAAATAAGTTTTGAGGCCGGGGATTTAGCTCAGTGGTTTCGCGGCCTGCTGCGCAAGCGCAAGGACCCGAGTTTGATCCCGGTACCAAAAAAAAGAACAAAAGAAATAAGTTTTGCTTGATGTATCTTTAAAACAGATTTCATAGAGGAAGTCAGTTGTTAACAAATATTCAGTTACTACTCTCATAAGTTTTGCGCCTTGTTAATTAGACACCATTGCTTGTCATTCCTAATTTCTTCCTCAAAGAAACAGATTAAATAATGAAAATCAATGTATTATCTTCTATTATGTAAAATATTTACTCATTTCATATGAGGAAATTTGTCATCTCGGAATAGTTTGGTCGTGTAAATTGCAACTCCTGATTTCAGCGTCAGAAAGTCAATTTCAACAAACTTAGGTAAAAGAAGACTGTTTTCTCAGCCATTCCCCAGGAAGAATAAGGAGAAAGCAGTCTTGGGAAAACTGATGATAGCCCGAAAGAAAATTAATACAAATCTATTTTATGTAGTGAAGTCACTTCTTTTGCAGATTCAGAAAGTAGAAGCATAGAGGCATT